CAATTCAAGGCCGACCCCCGAGACTCCAGACCGCCCTCCTGGCCTCCAGGCCTCCAGGCTGAGCCGTCGTCTCGTCGCCCTGGCCGGGTCGCACTCGTGGGTTGTCGCGTCGGGGTGCGAGAGAGACAGAGCAACTCGTCTTGGGAATCGGCCGGCGAGAACGTGGTGCAGCAGGCCGAGCCGGGCGCGCGTTTCGAGGCCGCGCCGCTTCGTATGTACTCCGTCGCGAAGGACGAAACGAGGACGAGAGTACGAGGCGGGACCGCACGGTTCAGGAAGCTAGGCTGCGGGGCGGGGCGGGGCGGGGCGGGGCGGGGGCGGGGCTCTGCTAGAGACGGGAGGGTCTCTAGGCTCTGCGCTCGGCGAGGGATTGGCTGGCTTCCTTCAATATCTCCAGACGTAGAGATCCATATTGCATCCTCCGCTTGGCCAGGCTTTCCCCGTTGCATGCCGCGCTGCCGTCGAACGTCGTCCTCCCCGCCCTTTCCCCTCGCTGCAGCGCCAGGCTGCACTTGTAGGTCGCGACCGTCCCGACGACGTCGCAGCGCGGCACCGCCAGGTTTGTCTCTCGGCGCCGTAAGTCTCGCCGCGGCTGTGACTTAAATTTATACCGCGTACATGAAGCTGTGCGAGCGTGTGCGTGCCTGTGTGTGTGTGTGTGTGTGTGGTGTCCGCGTGTGCGTGTGTGTGTGCGTGGCTCGGCCGTACTGCAGCCCCTCAGTTCTATCTCCAGTACTTTTAATTTCCGGCTCCAAGAGTGGCGAGTGTGTGACGCCCCGCCCCGCCCCCCGGGTCCGTGCGCCCCCCGTGGGGACGCCAGCCTCGCCTCGGCCGCCCCGTGCGCGGTGCTCCGGCGGTGTGCCGGCGGTGTGTGTGGTAGTGTACACTGCAGCTCGCGTTAGAATTGCCGCGCGGGGAGGCGGCGAGATGACTGTGCTGCTCAAGAGACACGACAAATGACGCCCGCCGGACCGCGGACGTGCTCAAGGGGCGCCGCTGGCGGGGCGGGGCGGGGTGGGGCGGCCGCTTGCCGGAGCCAGCCCATTTCTCGCTTATTGTGCCGACAGGCCCAGGCAAGGCAGGCCCAGGCAAGGCAGGCCCAGGCGGCCCGCTACTCGAACACACAACACATCACATCACCGTGCCGGCACATTCCGCGAGTTTCTGCGGCGCGCCCCGCGACGCCTCGTCCGGAAAAAGCCAATATTTTGCTGTTGTTGTTGTTGTTGTGTGTAATTTGACGGGCGGGAAAGGATGGAGATTGGCACTCTGGCGATATCTTGCCCGGGGCGGCGAGATGGTCTGGCAGGTGGACAGACAGACAGACAGACAGACAGACAGACGGGCAGGAGAGTGCTGGAGATATGCCACGCCTGGCCCTGGCCGGAAGGGGCAATCTCTCTTGGACCAACCGCATCAACCCAGTTTCCAGGCCGCCCTTGTAGCCGTCTCGCTCTCTCGCTGCCGTGTCTGTGCCGTGCCTGCGCCGTGCCTGGGGATCCATCGGGTTCGGGAGCCCCGCAAGTCGAGCTGGTCAAGCGCTCCACGGGGCGAAGGAAAAGAGATTAACAGCCTTTGCTGGAGGCTGGTGTTCCTCCAGGCGATGCGCTGGAAGAGGCACCCCAGAGGGTGGGGGTCGGTTTCTCCAGCATCGCGCCCAGACGTGCACTTACAGTGTGGGGCAGGTGCCGGTATCGGTCCGAATCTGCCCTCACATTCGGTGAGATCGTGGCTGCCGTGGTGCACCTCACTCCTCGCCCCACTCCGCCCTGTCCCCGGAGAGGCGGGTCCTCATCACGTCATCGTGGGGGACGGCCGGCCTGGCGAGGCCCGGTGCAGGACCAAAATCAAGTGGAGAGTCCTCGAGGTGGACTCCTTCGTCGTCCTCGAGGTGCCTGCAGCGTCTGCAGCCTTCGCGGTGGTGGTCAAGGCCGTGCCAGTGACCCACTTCCTCGGGGACGTGCCGCCCAGCCAGCCGGACGCCGGTGGGGCCTTGCTCTGCCTCGCTCTACCTTGCTTTGCCTCGCTCTACCTTGCTTTGCCTCGCTCTACCTTGCTTTGCCTCGCTCTACCTTGCTTTGCCTCGCTCTACCTTGCTTTGCCTCGCTCTACCTTGCTTTGCCTCGCTCTACCTTGCTCTGCCTCGCTCTACCCTTTCTTGCCTCGCTCTACCTTGCTCTGCCTCGCTCTACCTTGCTCTGCCTCGCTCTACCTTGCTTTGCCTCGCTCTACCTTGCTTTGCCTCGCTCTACCTTGCTCTGCCTCGCTCTACCTTGCTTTGCCTCGCTCTACCTTGCTTTGCCTCGCTCTACCTTGCTCTGCCTCGCTCTACCTTGCTCTACCTTGCTCTGCCTCGCTCTACCTTGCTCTGCCTCGCTCTACCTTGCTCTGCCTCGCTCTACCTTGCTTTGCCTCGCTCTTCCTTGCTTGTTGTTGCCTCCAAGTTGCTGGCCTGGCGCGAACCCACGTGCGGTGCGGACAAGTTTGACGCCGTGTTCGTCCGCTCCGCGATAGAGGGAGGGGGCGGCAGAGCGAAAGGATGAGCTGGAGGCGGTTGCTCCAAGCCTGGCGTGCGGTGGACAGCGATTGAGGAAGGGTATCCTGCCCGTCCTGCTACCTTCGACGGCCAACCAGTAAACAGTAACGCAAAGCCATCCCTCATCCATCGTCATGACGCCGTTAGATTTGCAGCACAAAGGGTCGAAGACAGAGCGATACATTATGCAAAGAGCGACTTTTTCCAAACAATAGTCGACTTCAACAGATATAACAAGCCGCCTGATAGTGTTTCCCCAGCGGCCGGCGGGCCTGTTTAACGGGAGGGTGCTCCAGGTCCTGATTCGGGAGTTAGCTCGGAGGCGCCCTTCCCTTTGTCACGAAATGGCCTGTGCTGGCTGGCCCGGCTGGCCCGGCAGCCCCCAAATTGACGCCCAGGACCCCCTGGCCGAAGGAGGCTGAGGGGGCGACGGAGGGGAAGAGGTCTCTGTTACGAATCGAAGCCGATGATCCAAGAGGACCGAGTGGCGCCGGGCCGGGCAGGGTTGGAGGCGAGGCGCCTTGAGGGCTCAGGCCGCTCAGGCCGCTCAGGCCGCTCAGGCCGCTCAGGCCGCTCAGGCCGGTCGGGCCGGTCGGGCCGAGCGAGGCTAGGCGATTCCCTGAGCCAGATAACAAGGGCCTGGTCGGGGAAAGTGTTGCCACCGACCCCAATTATTTGGCGGGGATTACGGAATGGAGCCTCGCGCGGCCCAGGATGCTCCCCGCGCTGCGCCCCGGGCAGACCAAGACCAACGCGCCGCGCGGACTTGCAAGGAAAGTCCCCTAGAAGGAAACTAGAGTCAAACAGCAGTTAGCATTCCTAGCGGCCTCTCCCCTGTTTTGCCGGCGGAGTGCGAGGCCAGGGGCCGCAAGGCGCGGCGTCGCCCGGACAATACCTGAGGCGCGGCACACTGGAGGCACCTCGTGCGCCACTCTGCGCGCGATAGCCACCGTCATGGCCACGAAGGCCGAAATGTTGGAGGCCACTCCGCCGACGCCGCCATTGCAACACCGCGAACAAAGGCCCTCCCCGCCGCACCCGTGTGGCTTATCTGGAACTATCTGCCGCGATTCCTACACTGGAAGAAAAACACACCGGTGGAGTGGTGTGACTCAGTCCACAGGAAAAACAATGATCATTTAATGACACTATCAGCCTGCCATTTTTGTTCATTACTTGACTTTGATCTGAACCTTGTTTTTGCAGCGCGCACGTTCGGTGCCGATGGACCGACCCACTCCGCAACCTGAGTCTTTCCTGTGGGGGAAATTCTTCCATCCTTCACCGCTCTGGTTCTCGAGGCCCGTTTTTGGGCCCGTCCCTTTCCCTTCCCCTTTCCCCCAGACTGGTAGTGTGATAAAGCAGCCGGAGCAGCCTCCCTCCTCCCAGCGAGACTCAGACGGCCCCGCGCACCTCACGCAGCCTACACTGCCATCATTTTTTCAAACAGAGGACTTCTTTGTTTTGAGCAGCCGCTTTACCGGCCCAATTTGGCATTGACAGTGTCCCGAGTTTACCGCTATGAGAAAGGCGGTGCCGATTTCACCGCCTTTGTAACACTGTGCGCGGGCGGCCACTGGATTTGAAGTGCCGTCGGCGTTGCCGCTGTTTCGGGCCACTCTTTGTCCCGGGGCCTCAATGTTGCCGCGGCCACGGATGGCTGCGATCATAAATTACGTGCGCGCGCGCGTTTGTGTGTGTCTGTGTGTGTGTGTGTCCCCTTGTTAATGCCGCGCACGTGGAGCACGGCGTACTTGCACGTGCGTGGCGTGCGCGGCGTGCCCGTCGTCGACGTGTCCCTCCTGAAGGGGCAGACGGCCGAGACGTCCGCAAGGCGGCACCACCACGGACAGTATTGCAACTAATTTCCCCCGAGGCTCTCGGAGGTTGCAGCCTAAGGCGAGGAGAGGCGGTGCCCGCCCCCGCCCCCGCCTCACACACAGACACAGGCACGAGCACACGCACACTAAGCAGCCGGCGCAAACACACGCGGCTCATTGTGTGGTCTGAGCTAGCATGGCGGCGAACCAAAGCCAGCCACACAGTGTCGTGTTGGCGGAGGTCGTGGTGGCGGTCGTGGTGGAGGCCTCACACCGACGCCGTGGCTGAGGCGGGCTGAGGCGGGCTGAGGCCGTGGAGGGAGGCGGCAGCAAAGCAAAGGCGCGGCCTCAGGCACGTGTCCGTCTTCGCAGCGACTCGTGCCTACGCGTGCCTACGTCAGGGACGTCCCTTCGGAGGCAGGGTCGCCGCCACGGTGGTAACTTGTTTTGTGCACTGGGGCGGCTGAGCCGAAATCTACAGTCCACGCCCTTCCACGGACCCTGATTCATTTAGAAGGCAGTGTGGTGACGGAGTGTTGACTGTGTGTGTCCGTGTTGCAGTGCTGCCGCCGCGGCCGCCGCGCAGGCCCCCGCCGCATCGGGGCCGCGCGCGCCGCCGCCCCTGCTGCGCTCGCGGACGCTCCCCGCCATCGTGGTGCCCGGCATCAGCATCCTGCAGGCGCAGATCGACTTGCGCTACCAAGGTACGTCGAAAAGTCCCGCCTCATCCAGCCATGTTTTCAACTTCCCACGCGACATTCTCGCGAACGGCCTCAGGAGAAATAAGCATTCCCGCAACAGAGCCCGTGCCTCTGCCACCGAGACTCCCAAGATTCCGGGAAAATCCCTCTCCCCGCGCTCGGCCGGGTGGCCTTCCCCGTCGTCCTCGAGACGCGCCAGTTCGGGGAGCGCCTGGCCCTCGGCAAGGCCGCCCCCACCTTGAGCCCCGCTTTGATGTCTTAACTGTACCGGTAATTGAGTGACGCGAACGGAGCGACGGAGAGTTAAGTGTCAATGCGACGGCCGTGCCGCGCCGTGCCGCGCCGTGCCACGCCGCGCCACGCCTCTAAATGCATCCTTTTGTCCTTTCGGCCTTGACTTAAAAGCGGCGCCAGAAACAGCTCGGCCGGGCCGCGTGCCGCGTGCGCGAACATCACGCCCCGGCTCTCTGTCGCTCCCGCGGTCCGCAGCGAGAGCGAGAGAGACGGAAGAGCGTCGTCTTCGTGGGCGGCCGCCGGGCGTCCCACAGCCATAATAGGCAAATTAGTGCCCTTGCCTCAGCCTTCGCCGTTGAAGCCAGAGGGAAGCGTTTCTTCATTTAGAACCAATAATAGGCCTCTGGCGAGGGCTCTGCCGGCCCTGCCACAATTTCAATTTTGCTAAACCTGTTCAGTGAAGCTGTACAGCGGAGCTGACATTGTCAGTCACCGGAAATTCATCCATTATTGCTCAAGTCCACAAATGGCGACCTCGACTTTCGCAGCTCGCTCGCAACCAGCCAGGCCTGCCGCCTTGACAACGCGGAGACTCTCCGACAACGCCAAATGGTACTCTGAGAGATTTGGCGCCTGAAGGAGCGAGGCGGGCAGAGGATCTAAATAAGTCGCCTTGAAGAAGCCCTGGAAAGGGGAAAGGGGCTAATTAGTTTATAAATGTGCCAAGCCGTCGGCCAGCCCTCGGCCAGCCCTCGGCCAGCCCTCGGCCAGCCCTCGGCCAGTCCTCGGCCAGGCCGGAGGGACAGCTGCCGTCCGCCGGGTCTGTCGGGTCCCTCAGGGGCAGTGCGACGCGCTGCAGTCACACGCGAAGCGGCTGACTGGAAAACAACGACACGCCGAGAACAGAGAGCCGAGAACTCCGCGTGGGTTGGGCGGGGTCTGTCGCACAAGGGGCGGCCGGGCCGGTCGGGCTGCAGAGGCTGCATGGAGGCAGCAGGGGTGGGTTGGCCTCGGCCTCGCTAGTTTGGTTTGCATCAAGCCGCATCAGGCCGCATCAGCACCGCCGCACCGCAACCCTCCGCCCGGGTCGGCCTGCCCGCTCTGCCTCTGTTCATTTCTCGGACGCCGCCAACTTTATTAAGGTCGGCCAACAGCTTGCGGCCGCCGTGTGTGTTGTGTGTGTGTGTGTGTGTGTGTGTGTGTGTGCGCGCGCGAGCGCGAGTTATTGTATGTGTTAGAGAGTGAGCAGCGTGGGGTGCGGGCCGAGCGGGCGGCAGTGCACATCGCCTCACCACCACGCCGACCAAGCCCACCAAGCCTCAGTGGGCGGCGTACTGGGAACACGCTTTCCTGGAAGGAGGCGGCCGTTCAAAGAAAGCGGTGGGCGTCCCTCTTTCCCCAGCGTGGGGGCCTCGCGTCTGATCGGCACATCGCAGAGCAGCGCAAAGCAGCGCAAAGCAGCGCAAAGCAGCGCAAAGCAGCGCAAAGCAGCGCAAAGCAGCGCAAAGCAGCGCAAAGCAGCGCAAAGCAGCGCAAAGCAGCGCAAAGCAGCGCAAAGCAGCGCAAAGCAGCGCAAAGCAGGCAAGCAGCGCAAACAGCGCAAGCAGCAAAGCAGCGCAAAGCAGCGCAAAGCAGCGCAAAGCAGCGCAAAGCAGCGCAAAGCAGCGCAAAGCAGCGCAAAGCAGCGCGGCACCACGACGGGATCGCTCGCGTCAAACGGCACGGCTCTATCGGTGGCCTCGTGGAGGCCCTGATGGAGTCCCTGCTGGAGTCCCTGTTGGAGGCCCTGCTGGGGACCCGCAGCAGAGTGAACCCCGACCGCGGCGGCGTCGCTTCTTTATGACGGATCCAGCGCCGCGATGGAGACCATTTCGACCGCAGTTATTAAACTGGGAGAACATTACCGAACCGCCCCTGGCCCCCGAGTCTGTTTGTCGTTGTCCGTTTGCCCTGCAGGGCCGCCCAGTGAGGAAGCACGAGAGGAGAAGGAGGAGGGGAGGAGGGTGTCTCTAATTCGGAAAAGAATTCGCGGCCATTGGGCGAGTGGCGTGATTGGAAGCCAGGGCTCATAAGAAGCTGGAGCCGGGGCTGGAGAGTCCTGGAGACCGGGCTGGGGGCTGGATGGGGCTGGAGGGGGCTGGAGGGGGGCAGCAGAACGCCACCGCCCGCTTCAAGGCTGAAAGGCGCTGAAAGGCGACCCGATTTCCAATCCAAACCCCGAAAAGGAGAGGGAAATTAAAATTGGCGTCCGCTCGCGTTGATTACGCGACGTGGTAGTTAGGAGATAAACCCCCTCCGCCTCCTCCTCTTTCCTTTCCTCGTACTTAAAACGCAGACTCAAAGGTAATTTGAAAAAGAAAAGAAAAACAAGTGGCGAACAAACCGTCATATTTATTGCTATTTTTTTTAAATTTAAAATTTGTTGTTAATTTGTTAATTTTTGTTAACTTACTTAAATTTTGAAAATTTGGACGACGTTCGTTCTCCCTCGCATCCGGCGGCACGATGGCCGTGAGTGAGAGAGACAGACCCAGAGCGTCCCCGCAACCACTCCGCTGATGAGCCCACTAGGCTCGGTCGTTACGTTATTAATGAACGGGACTCCGTTACGACGGGCTCTCATGAGAGTGGCGCATGAAATCGAAAGGCAAATGACGGCTCCGTTCGGTCTGTGTTTACATTCGCGGCGCTGGCGTCACGGCGCTGCGTTTCGTGCGATTTTTAATGCACTTGTTTTCTTCTTTCCGGCGCCGTTTCGGCGCGCCATACGGTTCCATCCGGAATGGGGGGAGGGCAGGCCTTGTTCCGGGGCGTGATTTCTTCTCACCTTTTTAATTAATTTCCTACACCAAATATTTTTCCTCAGAGGCGGGACACGAGAAAGTCCTTAACTGTTCTTTAGTTTGTCGTCGCCCTGCTGCGCGGCAGTCAGGACCGGAACAAGATCGGCGCGCGACGAAAGACTTCTTCTTCTTCTTCTTCTTCTTCTTCTTCTTCTTCTTCTTCTTCTTCTTCTGCTTCTTCTTCTTCCTCGGGCAGGTCCTGGCTGCATGCAAATCGCGCCGTCCTCGCGCAGTTTGCGTGTTTTTCTGCCCGTCGTGTGCAAATAGATCAATAGCCAATGAGAGACCGCGTCCGTGGCCGTGGCCCACCGGGAAAGGGTCTCCTCTCCTCTCCGTTTCGTGATTGCCAGAATAAACAGGAGGGGGAAGCGTCTCCGGGAATGCATGGCATGCTGCCGTCTACTGTGTCACCAGATCGGCTGTGTTGACTCGACTCGAGTGCTGGGGACGGAGAGCGGACCAAATGGTCGGTTCCATTCATCAGGCGGGCCCTAAAAAGGCTGAAGGAGCTCACGGAGGGGTGCGGTGCGCGCGAGACAGAGCGACGAAGCAGTGTCGAGACTCAGGCCGCCGGCCGGCCGGCCGAAGGTGCGCCCGGGGTGTCGTCTGGGACGGCCTCCGTCGAGCGGCCTCCGCGGCGTTGGTCCATCCGTTGCCATGGCGCCCGATGACGTCACGGAGACGCTATGCGGTGCCAGGCAGTGCTCCCGCGGGCCGGCATGGGGCGACAGAGGGTCGACATCGGCGCCCCTCGCGGCGTGTTGATCAACTCATTGTCCACCCACGCGAAGGGCAAGGGGACGACGAACCGTCAGTTTTCAGGGCGCAATAGCTGGCAAAGCTGCGAACATGCGACAGGGTGTCCCAACTACTCATCCCAAATCACAAAAGGCATTATTTTGCGATCGTGTTTGTATGACTTTTTGTTTTGGCCGGAACACTCAAGCCAATATTTACGGAGGCCTTTGGGCGAAGCCGCAAGCCACACGTTCGCACTCGGCGGCAGGTTGGCGGCGTACAGCGGTGTGGCGGCCGTCGGCCTCGGCAGCGCGATCCCGTTTCAGTGATCGGACGCGCGGCGAGGCGCGGCGAGGCCTTGATGAGCTGCTTTGAGTGGCGGCACGGCGGCCGGCGGGCTCATTCTGCACGCCCTTCAGTCGCCCTGTCTCCCTCGCACCTGTGCGAGACGCTCCATGAGTGAGACAGAGACAGGAGGACGACAGCGGTGGCGGCGCCGAACGTGCGACCCTGCCGAGGTGTTTGACCTTCGCGCGCCCTCCCCGCCGGCCCTTGGAGGGGTTTTGCATAATCACGCCTTCCAGCGAGCGATCCCCCCGGATCCTCCTGGATCCTCTCCGCCTTCCCCCCTTTTGACAACGGCGGCCCCTGTCGCGTCGCGAGCAGCTTCGGGGGGGGGGGGGGGCCTCGCGCGCCGTCTCGCTGCCAATCGGCCAGACGCAGCTCGAAGGGGCCGTTCCCCCGAGTCTCCAACTTTTCAACGAGAAGCCCGCCAAATTTAAGTGGACACAGAGAGATGGTGTTAAGGGCGTTTATTAGTTGGCCTGCGTCTTCGAGGCACACAGCTTCCGCCACCAAGTTGGGGCTGACGCTGGAGGCTCCACCTGCCGGGCCTCATTTGCCGCACCACTTCCCGAAGCAGCCGGGCTCCTTCTTGGGGCGCTCCGCGGCCTTCTTCGGGGCGAACGACGGCACGACCACCGGGCCGCCGGGGGGCGCATTTTTCGCGTAGTGGCTCCAAGAGTAGTTCGGCGGGGACTGTCCTCTTCCTGGCGAGCGTCGTTCCACTTCGTGAGGCGATGCAGGGCTCGCCAGGGCGACCTGCGTCAAACAGTTACGGAATCACCTGCCGCCTTCTGGTGCGCGGTAACCGTCATCCGACAGCCAGCTCTCAGTGACAAATTTCTG